ACTGGATTAAGCGAACTGGATCGTGAAATTGTGGCATGTGCAACCACACCGTACGACTACACCGTACCGTACTCTTGGCCGCTGGTAGACGCTGGTGGACCCTGGCAGACGCTGGTAGACGCTAGATCAATATCTATACTTTCTTAATCGCTGATGCTGGCAGATGGTCAAAACGCTAATGGCCGCTGGTGGCCGCTGCCGCGAAGTAAGAATGCAACCTGATTCTTGGGTTATAGTGATTTAGTCGTAGTGAGTGTGAAGATGCGGAGGATGCTACTCCCTATTAGCAATCATCAGCGTTCCCGCCGCTTCGCTGCTTGCTGGAACAACCTTCCGATTTGGTAATCCGGTGCTGATTTCGACCATTCAAGTCTCTTTGTCAGTTTCTCAAGAGTGCTCCTCCGGCAATATTGGTGGGGTTTCACAAACCCTTACTTTAATGTACTATTTTTCAAACGTTATGTATACCAACAACTGCAGCCCTTTTGTTTTCGTGCACGTACTCCATTTGTCTCCGATTTTTTGAGTGAAATTACTTAACATGAAAATAAAGAAGCGTACTATGTTCACAATAGCTTGAACTTTTCCTTGAAATGCCTTCAGACTATTTTCGGCGTCGTCTTTGTAACTCTGCACAACCCCTAAAAGACAAGTACTTTGCGTGGTTTAGTACTTCTACGTTAGAGGTATTCAAATTGCAACTAGCCTGCTACTGATACTGCCTCTTGGAATAGTCTCTGGAATTTTCACTATGTGTGCATGGTCACGATTCTTTTCAGTTCTCACAACTTTCAGGCGCGACTCCAGGCCACGGTTCATGTGCATTTCACTTCGGGGAGGATTAGGGGATCAGAGGAATAGGAGATTGCGTGCCAAAGCTAGTATAGTTTCTGCCGAATCGGGTGAATAGGAGAATTCCGAGAACGCGTAATGGGAGAGTGGGCGTCAGAAGAGTATACGACGGTCGATCGACCATGGCTGCTGGAGAATTGAGAGCAGGGAATGACGTCGTTGAGAGCTTATCACATCGAGGGTGATCACATTTGGTGGTAATATCCGTTCCTTCACGTGGTGCCACTGGTAACTGTTCGTTTTTGCGAGCTGATTGGTAAGCAGAACTCGGACCCTCGAATGCAGGTGACAGGCCTTCGTGACGGGCCGGTACCTACGAACACCCCATGTCACATCACAATGTTTAACTATGCCACATGAATTCCGAGATAATGCTACGGCGTCCGCGGGAGCCGACGCGCACTCGCAAGGCCCGGCGAGTGTGAAAAATATGCGAAGGGTCCTCGATGCAAGGACGGAACCCTGGGCAACGAGGCTGGTCCGAAAATCGTGCAGCTTTTGGAAGGCTTTGCAGCGAATGAACGCTCGTACGCACGTTCGGAGCTTGCAGAAGCATTAAGCGCAGAAGGATCGACGTCTGTGGTGTGCACGAGACGAGGTGGGCCAGTAAATTGGCCGCGCTTCAAAGCCGTTCTTTGTGGCGGGCCGAAAACTAGAAGTGGTGTGGCCGTAATTGCTAGCTGCCACTGTGCCATCTTCCTCATCTTTCTGTACCCCCACCCCTGTCTCCAGTCTCTTATGCGGACGTGGTGTTCTTCTCTTCCTGCTTATCCGCTGTTGCTAGTGTGGGGAAAAAAGTAGGGAAAGCAGGGCACATCGTTGATGGATCATCCCTAACAGGGTGGTCCTATTTGGTCGCCGGGAGAGGGGGGGGGTCGTATTTGGGCTGAGAAAAATTTATTTTGATAGTTGATTTTTCTCGCTTCACGGACGTTGTAAAGGGGGGGGGGTCGTACTTGCTCGTTGTTGGGAGGGGGGGGGGGTCGTATTTGCTTTCTGGCCTTCTGGGAGGGGTGGTTGACTTTCGCGATTTTCCTGTCTCATGTGTATTATATACCCTTCCCCCCCCTCCCCTCCCCCCTCGCTCGACAGCTCGATGAGCAGGGCAGAGGGCCAGACGAGGGCCTACCAACCCCCC